TTGGAGTCAGCTGAGATTCCACTTCACTTGATATTTGTGAAGTAGGAATATGAGAAATGGGAAGAGTCCAAAGAAGCTTCCAAAAGATAACAGATAATAGAGCAAAATTTTCTAGTCCAAGGCACATGTACACTCATCCGGTAAGTCCCTGCACAGGGCCGGCTTACGTCTGCTGTAAATACCCGAGAGGCATAGCTTGTAGAGTACTGATTGGTAGCACCAAAATATAGGTCGGTCCGGGTAAGACACAGGTCTCGCTACGCGCGAAAGAAAAGCCCCGCGAATTTAGTGGGCCGGTACGTCGGATAGCCGGGGTGCCGTGAAAAGTATAGCTGAGCTGCCTCGGCGCTCAGTGACCTGTTAAAGCACTCGCACGCCGTCATCCATCCTTTGGTGGGGGACACATAATTTTGTGAGCGCAACCGAGTCGAACTCGGCGGAGACACGGAAGTGCTCTGTCTTGTCGTCGCGGACATTACGTAGGACAACTTGCTCGTAGAAGTCCTGGTTTCGGCTAACATCGAGCCTTTGTAGAGTCAAGTGGGTTCGGAAGCCCTCTCTTTTTAAAATTCGACCAAGTGATCACAGAAGCGTCAAGCGGAATATCAGTTAGGCTCATATTGTCCCGACCCAGGTTCGATCGGAGCTTTGCGGAAGGAAGTCACTTGTCTGTCCCGGCTGGGCCGAGCCGCGAGGGGTGCAGGCAAAACCGCCGACGTAGCTCGTCGATTTGTAGTGGTTCGTGTAACGAATGCACGTCTGACGGTGTATGTGTGCTCTACTAGCCACAGTAGTCGTAGACGAAGCCACTGAATGGTGTATAAATTGGGCCGGGGGAAAGCATTGGCTGGACACCGGGGTCTGGCCAATGCTTTCTCCATATGTTCTACTCATTGTAACACGGCCAGGTCGAGCTGGATCAGAACCGTAGGTCTAATACCTTCAGGGAGCCCAGAAGCGCGGCTATCAGGTTTCAATGGCTCTCTGGACATTTACTTAGTTGAAGCGAGCCCAATCAAACCTCAATCGAAGTTGCAGCTCTACGAGAATAGCGTATGCGTATCTTTCGTACCTGTCTTCTAGCGGGGTCCCGCCATAGCAAATATTGATCGGTTTAGGACCTCTCGATAGTAATAATCGTCGATTGCGTATCACTAGTACAATATGGAGGCTAGAGGTCATCTTGACTTGGTCTTGTGAGGCCCTTGTTCAGGTGGAGAACGTGTTCTAAGCCGAATAAATTAAAGCAATTAAATTGGTTAAATTGGTGAGTCATGTTCCCACCTCCGTCATGACTTAGGCGCCTGATATAGACCGCCAGGACGCAGAAGTGTCACGGAGCTGTCAAAGGGTCGACAGCTATGCGTACAGCAAGACCATGCTCCGCTGCGGGAATGCCACGGGCATGGGTCTTTTGCCCGGCGTGTGAACCTGCTACACTAGCAGCGTCCAACGCCGAAGGTCGTCGCGTCGTACGGGCTTCGACAGTGGTTATGCCTTTAAGTGCTAACCGGGTGGGTAACGTAGGACCACACAGTCGCCCAGACCTTAACGGCAGAGGAGGGCGCTGAATGCGCTTCCTGTGTGGGTAACACAGTACCACACGCAGTCGTCCAGGCTATAACTGAAGAGGAAGGCACTGATCATGCTTCCTGTGTGGATAACACAGTATCACACGCAGTCGCCCAGACTATAACGGAAGAGGAAGTCATTGACCATGCTGCTAGATCGCTTGGAGCTTTTTGGATGTTAGCTTGATTCCTTCGGCTGAGATCGTGTCGACCAAACAAGTCGACCTCTTTCCGCACAATATGCCATTTCTTACTATTTAATGTGACTTCATATAGAGACGCTCGAAGACGATGATCAGGTGCTCGAGATGGTATAATCGTTCATAGCAAGCACTAGAATGTCATTTATACTCATCAACTAGCTCTAAGTCGCCGAAGATTTTTTTTCATGCAGGCTTGGTATTCATCTGGAACTGTGTAGATACCCCTAACCAGACGCTTGTACTGGAACTTGCCTCATACAACAGAACTGGGCCTTTTTTCAGGCGAGTCAGCGAATATAATAGCCGCGATAAGCGTCAGGTGCTGATATTCATTTATCCTCGGAGTATTTCGCGAATACGAAGAACGTTATAGAAGCTCCTAACGTAGTTACATATTTAACCATCCATAGTCAATTAGCAAACGCAGCAACCCGTTAGGTGTGACCAGGAAGAACGCAGGTGACGCCGTCTTCGAGTCGTAGATCCAGTGCATCAGCGTTAATAATTCGTTGGATATGCGTGCAATATGGTTTATAGACTGGGAGATAGAAGTCTCGTAGTCGTCAAATTCCGTGCGTTTGAGGTGGTCATCTTTGCGACACCGGTGTTTCACGAGCTCATTCAAGTATCTATCCACCAGTGTGTACTCCACGTGATCAGAAAGAAAATGCTCCAGCTCGACCGCACTGATAGCAGCTTTCTTCGACAGATGCTCGTTGCCCTCGTGATTGTCCGTGTTACTTGTAGTTCCACTGTGGTCAGTATTGATGTTAATAAACTGTCGTCTCACTGCCCCACTTTAAAATTGGATGGCTCTACTCCGCTCCCTTAGCACCACCAGCCTGGTCGTGGCGGTCCTTCACTTCCTGTGGAGTACCAGGTCGCTTGTCACTGTACTCCTCTTGAATGGCGATTCAGATCACCTCGTCCATTGTGGTCGCATACACGCGAAAAAGCTGCGTGCGTGCGTGCAGGACCGACCTTTAGGCCATCTGAGAAAACTGTTGTCTTAATAGCTTCAGACAGGGGATACTGTGGTGTTGGAATTCCCACGTGAACTCTAGCTACAAATGTAGTTAATACGTTTTCACAACAATACGTCTGCTAAGATAGCAAACGATCGTTCGGGCGGACCTGAAGACCCCAGCTCTGCCCTTGCACCGGGGCAAACTGGACCTTGTACACTACGTATATAGGTCAACCAGTAAAAAATAAGAACACGCTACTAGCACGAGCAAAGCTAGCAGGTGTTATGAATCCTCGTGGTCCCAACAGCGGAAGGGTACCAGGCACGGGTAAGCCTTTTACGAGGGCTCCGAGTGTTTAACACTCGGCTGAAAGAATAAAAGGGATGCAATACAAGCACTCCCAGTCGTGCAAATAAGCAACAATAAGCCGCCACGTAAACCTCCCGATAGTAATTGGTTAATACTCAAAGTCTCTTGGCCTTGCCGAATGAACCCTCGCTACAGAGCTTCGAGTTCACCGACAGGCATAACACTCAAACAAGCTTGACCAGACGCTTACCTTGAAGCCGGACGTCGCTCTGTGTGCTTGAGTTGAAATTCTGTTCTGTATTTATATTTACCCTTTCGGGTCTATTCCTAATAAGAAGTCCTAATAAAGTATACAAATATCAAGTGAACAATGATCCATATTGGATCTTCTTGCACGCCAAGCGTCGTCTGCCGTCGCATGAGCATCTTTAACGGTTTGCGCTCTGTTCCAGACCGTGAACTTGCCTTCAAAGGGTCGCAGAGTCTTCAGCGAACTCATCCCAACCGCCACCGAGGTTTCGTACCGTAGATGGTCAGTTCTTGGCCGCTGAATGCGAATCCGGCCAGTCCATTATTAATAATAAGGACAGCCTGGATTCAGTGACATCTGGACCGTATCCAAGATCCGTTGAGAGCTCGGTAGTGACGCCGTCGAGTCTCTTGCACCTTGGAGTCACCGTACATCACATGACCGAGGGTTCGTCGCTTGAATATCTTGGGCGGTGTCGCGTCTTTGTTGACGGGCGATTATCCACAACTCTGGAGAAATCACTACACCACAATTCACTGCCAGGGATGCCATATCTATCGCACGTACTCGTGCAGTTCGCGTTTCCCTTGCTTTCAAGTGAGAAAGGCGAGCGCTGGTGGAAATTTTGTTCGCCGGTAGCAAGGTGGCGTGCAACTGACCATACAGCTGCGCCCCGTATTCGAAGCACCCAGGAGATATGATCTCCGGGGTGTATGCCCAGTGCTTGCCACGTCAAGGCTGGACGGGGCAAAAGCCGAAGTGGCTCGTTCGAGACGATACCCGTCTTCATGGTGATCTCAACCTCTCGGATCAGACGTGAAGGTTTATCCCTTCCTTCTCCCAAACACGGGACCTTCAGTCTTGTAGGCTTAGGCTTGATTGTCTAATGAGCGGCCGTTGAGGCCTCTAATTTCCCCGCGGGTGTGAGCGATCAGATCACGCTCGCAGGTCACAAACGCAGTCACGCGTTCATGCTGCTCGGCAAGCTTCACCCGCCAAGCTGCGGAGGACACCTCGTCCAAAGATGCCTTCCATCTTCCGAACGGAATTGTACTGTGAGTCATTCAAGTGAGGAAATTCACTTCGGTCCATCATGGCTCAAACGTAAAGATCACAGATAATTCAGGTAGTTGAATCTACCCGCGAAGGCGTAGGATTGACTACAGGAGCTACTAAGTGTGACGGACCACACGAGCACCTTGCACAGAGGGAGTGCTTAAGGGTATTTTCTACCCAGGTGAATGTGTTCCCGACCTCAGAGGGAACTGTTTGCTACTTAGAATAGTAAATGTAAGACTGATGTAGTTATAAGTAAGCTCCTTGGGCTCCAATACAAACTACAGGTCACCCATAGTGGAGCTATGTAGTTATGTACTGACTGCCCCATGTAAAACATTCGATTTACAGGTAAAATATGTAGATTAGAAATATATGTGCGCCACATAGATTTTTTTTACAATTCGTAAGTAAGAGTGAAAAGTCAAAATCGAGAGAATTATGGATTCAAATTCCTGTCTGTTTTCACGTCATTGTGCGAAAATATTTTATCACTTTTTATTACTTCGAAGTAATACGGCATGTGAAAGATCTCTTCACAATCACCTCAGCTCCTGGATTTCCATAAACAAACGTGCCACCTGCTCCTGGATTTCCATAAACAAACGTGCCACCTGCTGAATGGCTCCAGGTAGCGGGATTCTAGGAGGCGAAACTCTTTATACTTCACAAATGTGTTCGTTGTTAAACAATAGAAGTATCACTAGGAGTACATGTATATGCACATCAGATCGATCATACAATGGAGTCCACTGTACCCGTAGACCAGTTTTGAAATTTTTGACCTTTCTCAGCGTGGTAACAGCTCATCAGAATCGCATCTATCCTTCGTCTTGGTCTTTATAGCAACAATCTCATCCAACACTGAGCGTAGACTCTCGACCGACGACCACATGCTGCGGCTTTTGCCATTCATTCGACCGTAGAAGTTACGATTTTTACCAGGACCCACTGGAAACCTCTTGAACGCCTCCGACTCCAAATACTGAAGACACGCATGCAAACCGTAGCGTTGGGCCAGCGTGAACAAGTCCACAGCCTGTTCGAAATAGTACCACCCACTTTGGGGCTTCGGGCGTTGATCCATCTCGACGAAAAAAAATGCTCCAAGCTCGTTGTAAATAGGCAAGATCACTTTTCTTTCGAAAAAGGTCCCAGCTTTAAGTTGGCGACATCGTCGCTGGTTGTGAAGGTCGAGATTGCGTGAACGAGACAGTGGCGCCCAGAACTTGCGTTCCCAAACAGCTCGGGCGTTTTTCTGCCAAAATGTTTGCAGCGCTGCCGCCAATTGCGGATATCTGACTCGCGAAAATGGCAAAGATAGTTTATCAGGGTTGAAGACTTCCTTCCACGGCTCCTTCGCTTCCAACCGCTCAAGCGCGTCCATAATACTCGCACGCACCACAGCTTCTGACAGGGACGCGGGGTTCAGACTTAAAGTAGTAGCAACAACAGCATCTGTTTCCTGCCCAGATACTGACACTCGTCGACTTACTTTTCTGGTTCGATCATCACTTGCCTTCTGGTTCTCACCGCTAGACTGTTGCTCTGACTCATGCCCCCTTGATCGCTTTCTCTGGGCTGGTTGTGTAGACAATGACGTCACCTCTGAAGACGTCACAGTAAATGGAGCTCCAATCTCCTCCATCGCTCCACTACACGTTGGATCGACTGATAGCGGCGGCGGCGGCAGTGGGACCATAGATAAGGCCTGAATATCCACAGGGATGACACTGATTGCTTGGTCTCCGCGTCGCACAAACTCATGAAGTAACGCTGCCTCTCCATGGCAGTACTCATGGAAGATATCGCGTAGCCACAAGACGTTCCTGGTGGCCACACGGGCCGAAAGGTAGCGGAAGACACACGGGGGAGACGTCGGTGTGCCCATCTGAGTCTGACGCTGTCCATTGATGTCCACCTCGTTTTCCTTCTTTTGTTCAGCTAACAGCCGTGCCGCTTCCTTCAACTTCCGAGGACTCGTTCTCTTCACGGGCATCACACTTATGACAGTCGCGCCAAGCCGCATGAAATCCTGTAGCGTGTGTTCGTTGCCGGCGTAAAAATCGGTGATCATGCGACGCATTAGCGCCAGACTCGATGTGTGCAGGAGGTTCTCCAGGAAGTTGCAGAAGGCCAACAACGTCGGCAATGGCGCCATCATACCGTTAGCTTTCCGTCACAAGTTTGAGCTGTGAAAATATTCGCCAATTACGATGAAGATGACGCATGGTTTCTGTACGGTGTTCGCAAAGAAAAAAAAAATCTATAAACCAGTGTACTTGCTTTTCAAAGGTGATTCGTTACCGTAACGCTAATGGTAACTTCCCATGGGAAAGTGATATGCAATGGATGGACTTGCTTTTGGAACACAGCGTATCAGGCTTAGCAAGCCGTAGCCGAGGTAACGATTGAGTCCGAGCTGGCCGTACCGGTAGCCACCTCCGTCGAGTTCGACGAGGACGTCGTGGAGGTAGTAGCGGTGTCGCTGGTGGTCGAAGTGGCCGTCGACGTAACAGCCGACGTTGTCTCCGTCGTGGTGCTGGCTGCAGTCGACGTCGTCGAAGCTGTGCTGGTGCTGGCCGATGAGTCGCTCGATAGAGACGAGCATACGCTGGAGAAACCGCTGGCCAGCTCGTACACATTCACCTCCAGACCGCTCGTAGGCACTGTCAGGGTGCAGTCGGGTGGGCTCAGCGAGAAAATTGACTCGATGAGAGATTGGCAGTTCGTTGATGCACACATCTCCACGTATTCGGCATCGGGTGGGCAGCGAAGTTGAGCACAGAAGGCTATAGCCGGAGTCGTCAACGCAGCCCTGGAACGAGACCAGCGTCAGCAAGCTGGCCAGCGTCGTGTAGGCAGACGTCTGCTGCGACGATGAACAAGTGTCGGCAGCGGCGGAACCCGCAATGGCAACGGCGGCGATGGCGAAGATGGCCTTGGTGTTTATGGTACCTGGAAGGAGTGCTGTGGAGATCAGAGCAGATTGCAGAGTGAGAAAAGCCCGTCACGCTCGTTGCTGTTGTTGGTGCACGCCAACACACGTATATCTGAACGAAGACCCTATTGAAAAGGGGTGATGCCCAGCAGCTCTTTACTTCAGAGTTATCGCGGTGATTGCCCAGCACTGCTCACCGAGTAGTGCTGAGTGCAGTTGAGATAGCACAGGAGCGGTGAATCCTGATATACCGAGGCAGTCGCTGGCCTGCTCCAACAGTGCCGGGCCGACACTAATACCAAGCCGTGGAAGTTGGATGAACACTGCAAGACGATGATCCAAGCGAGAGAGCGCCACAGCTAGATCTGCAGTATAGTAGCCTTGGCATTTCCATTGACTGTGGAGGTGTCCGACTAGAGATAGCGATGCGTGTCAAAAGTGATGCCGGCGTAAAGTAGACTGGAACGATGTTCAACAAGTTGGTCATCTCTTTGTCAAACCCTCGTCAGCGTCAGAGACGACGTCAAAGACTCTACTGTATGTAGGCGAACAAGGGACGTGGCCGGATACACTACCACTCCGATCACGCACTGCGTGACACGCAGCACCAGGCTGGTCCAGCATCTGGTGCATTGGGTACCTCAAAGGCGCAGTTTCGAGCAGCAAAGTTGCAATGGGGATCCTCCGAATCGGAGGATCCGATTCATAGCCAGCGCAGTCTTCGCCGAAGATGCCACCCTGATTTAGATTCAGGCTGCAGCAGGCAGTCGCGCCGCGACTCGCGGCGGTCAAAAGGCTCAATGTTATTATACGGTAGCAAACTATACACTGCGTCAACTCCGAGTCCTTGAAGGACTCTCTCTGGAGTTTATAGAGGAGACGACCCTGGCGCGTTGATTGAAGTGAATCCAGTTGAAACGTTACGCAAATTGCGAGTCACGTGTGAAGCATTCACTCAGTGAGCCACCAGTGAATCACTGGTGGCCTGGTTTAGACTGCTATTGGTGCTGTAAATAGAAGTGCAGACATCCCCTTGGTAGTTTTCCCTAGCCTTGAAATACACCCTCAATACCAATAAATATGCAGTTCCCCGATGACCAGTTGCTTAATTCCCCCCCTCAGTTGTAAAAAGGAAGGGATGATTCGCTAAGATAAAGATTGTACAGGACTCCGGAAATCCAACATAGAATAGTAGCGATTCAATCTATCAATACTTTATCCACTGATAGAGAATTCCCTATGCCCGTCGATGACGTCCAGTAGCATCCCCACGAACGAAAAACCTACACCCTGGCAACCCTGGCCGTTCGCATTGCGAGCTTCGCAAGGGTGGCTACGATGGCGAGCAAACGTGTAGTAAGTTGTTGGTAGCTATCGGTATGAATAACCAATTTTACAGTCTAAAGTTCTATAATACTATATACTTTTCTGTCCGAGAATAATCGCAAGATTCAAGAAAAAACAATGTTTACTGGTCAAAACTAGGTCGAATCGAATGCTAATTGAATGAAAATAAAGGTCTTTGTATGCTACATCCCGCGATAGGAATCCCCTTAAATAACAATAAAAAGTGGTCTCCCGACGCTATGACTACTGAGAGGATTTTCTGTCACTTAAAACGTCGCTTCTAAGTACAGAGCTCCCACTCGTTAGCCATACATACTACCTCCTTATACCCCTGTCAAGTCGATCCATCTGTGGTGCTAATCCCCGTTGGTCAATCTTAAAATATCTACATGTATATTATTGTACAAGGGGGAGCATACATGTATTGTATTCAGTACAGTTGTGACCACTCTTTATTTTACCCGTGCACGTTCCATGTACTTTTTGTTTTGAAGAGGCCAAGCATAGACCAGGCTTTAGCCGAGGTATGTATCACAGCAAAAAACTACCTGTACCGGTACTAGCCTAGTACTACTAGGAATGCCGCTGCTCGAAAGAGGTGCATCGGACAGCAAATGAATTTGCAAATTCTGTTCGCCCTGCAACATCCAGCTCCACGGTCTTTGCCATTCTCCAATTTGCTCACAGCAACTCAGTCACTTCGACGACCAGAAAAAGAAAGACACAATGAACACGTACTTCGTGCTAGCCTCCGCTGTCGCTGCTCTAGCTGGCTCTGCCGACGCCGCCGCCTGCACGACTGCCCAGCAGCAGTCTGCGTACCTTGGCATGGTTGGCCTGCTCACGGGTACGGCTCTCAACGAGTGTGCCTCGGAATCAGGCTACAACATGCTGTACGCCACCGCTCTCCCCACGGACGATGAGCGCAAGGCGATGTGCGTTGTTCAAGCGTGCCATGACCTCATTGTTTCGGTGCTAGCTACGAACCCTCCGGACTGTGACCTGACCATCCCCACCAGTAACGCCGTCATGAACGTCTACCAGCTCGCCTCCACTTTCGAGACGCAGTGCGATGCCTTGGTTACCACGACGGCCCCCTCCACAGAGGCACCCACCACTGCACCGACCGAGGCCCCTACATCTGCTCCTTCTGATGTTCCTACGATCGCTCCGACTGATGCTCCCACGTCTGCGCCAACTGATGATCCTACGGATACCCCCACGACAGCCCCAACTTCGGCCCCGACGGAGCCTGTTGTGCCTGGCGCTGCTTGCTAGTTAGCCAAAGCTCTCGTGACGGCGGAGCTTTACTGACAGTGCATCCTCTCTAATATCATCATTTTCTTCATCTGATTGACGAGTTCATGACATGTATTAAATGTACTGTATTCCAGTAGTAGTCTTTTTGAAAACACATTTCAATCTCTTTTACAGATCAGGGTGACAAGTGTCAAGGACTAACCGGTATGACAGCGATAACAAGAGCATTCGGTTGCCGTAACTCTTCGATACACAACATGTACTTCAAGTAGTCAAATACACCGCAGGCTCGTATCGAGGGTGTCCTCACAGCTTACTGCGTAGTAAAATCTTTAGAAAAAAAATCTAAGATAAACGTACATTTTGTCTGCATTGGCAGTCTCGATGTACATGTAGTATAATAAAAAATGTAAATGCCAATTCGCCCACTCTTGGAGGATCTCAAAAGGGTGTTCATATGCTCCTCAATTCCTTAACGAGAAACACCTACATGCTGCGACTAGCGAAACATTCGCTACATGCTTGACGTTCGCCCGCCCCCCCCCCCTAATGAACTCCATGATGGAGCCCTTATAATGACGACGTACACTGAGGAGATTGATGAATAATTCATGGTAGAAAAAGAAATCTCCTTACATTCCAATCGACAGATCCTTTCGTCAGTACGCTATGCTGTGCATGTACAGGTAGAAAACATTAGTTCAATGTCAACAACGTGATTAAAAACAAAAAAATAACTCGTTTATCCTAATGCTTTTGTCCATTTCACTTAGCCTAATGCTCGATTTATCATAAATAGAGATCGTTTTATTAAATTGAGGTCATTAAAAAGTACAAATCGATCTAGCCCAAATCGACAGCTCGGATCGATCAACCACCAAATCCACATCGATATCCTGTAAATCGACCCTTTTTGCCGTTTTGAAATGGTAACTCAACCACAGATAAAACAAATCGATGCCTTCCTCTTCCCATCTCATTTTTACGCGTGGTTTTATGCTCCGACCATGCTCGATCAAAGCTATAAAACGGATGGACATCCATCTGCGAAGCACAACCTTTAGGGATTAATTCGGTGTATGTAGCGTACACCAATAGTGGGTATCGATTCGCTACATATTTCAAATGAGCTGGTCTTATTTTCTAACCAAACTCTATTAAACTCTGAAGGTTTCACTTTCGTAAAAGGTGTTGCTAAGATATCATGAGATGCAGTTAAATCACTTGATTGATGGGCATGGACAACATAGTGAGGATTTTGAGGTAACTATCAGATGGTAGGCATAATCGAGGTTTCGGAGACGCCTTCGCGAGTATTATATTTCTTCCTGCAACGAATGATATACCACACTCACGGCGTTCTGAATTTTAAGGGGGTCGAGCTCATTCCGAACTGATCCTCAAAGCCTGTCACCGCTGCTCGCGATCTTTTTTAGTTGTCGTCGCTGCCAACTTGAAAGCTTGTTAGAGCCCATCGGAGCGATCATGATAGCAGCAGCTCATTTACTTTGTCCTGCTGAGCGACCGCGGGCCATTTGTTTTACATCCAATTTATCCCCTTCGTCGGCCCCACTGTTCTGTACGATGGAGGAGCCTCATCACTGAAATATCCGACAGGTTACATGACCATGGACAGCCCGCTTGCTATACCTCTGTGGCTTGTTTAGTAAATTCAAGAATGATCTTCTTTTGGTTTGGAACTTATCGGATGCATGTTGTAGTCACTTTCAGTCTTTCCGTTAGCTTACTTTTTCTTCTTTGGTCGAGTGCCATCTTCTTCACTGCATGACATCTTCCCCCAAGGTAGTTGTACCGAAGGGTTTCGCTCTGCGCATATGAATGCTTTCTTGATACCGCTTCTTATCGATCACCAGTATCCCGTTACTGCGGACACTTACAATTCGGAATGGTCCGTCGAGCGCTTGCTGCAATTTCGGAGCTCTTGCCTCATTCTGCGCGATCATCACCATGTCTTCAGGTTGATACTCGTGCTCCAGCCGCTCTTGGTTTTCTCATTCATCGTGCTGTTGAAGCTGTTCTTTTTATTCTGCTGATTCCAATTAACTTAAGTTTGAAAATCAAACAAAACATCTCGTCCAAAAGCAGCCTCACTAGGAGATAACGACGTAGCCGTGTGATATTGTGCTTCAAAAGGCCCAATACTATCCTCTGCCCACGGTCGAACTTCCATCGTTTTATTAGACAACTTTCCATAGTTTGATCTTGTAGTCTTTGTTTTTGCACATTCCTCACAATTGTGCACCCAATTATTCAGGTCGGCATTCATTCCGAGCCACGTTAGTTACACCCTGACTAATTCCAACATGCATTCGCCTGGATGCATCAACCAAAGGTGATAAGCGCTTAGTACTTTGCCTACCAATGGGCCTGGTAAAGTGATTTTCCCATTTACTCTGCTGACAAGTACCGTCGTATTGCCAATCACACATCTTACAGCTGCAGGTCCTTCGTGAAGGCCCACTAGCCGTTGCGTTTCTGCGATTTCTTCGAGCGAGAGTGAGAATAGTGCAGTGGATTTGTTGGGCGCAGTAACGGCCGCCGCTTCTGCTGTATTGGGAGCTGTCTGAATTGGGAGTCGCGACCCCGATGCTGTCATGCCCTCTAATGTACGTCATTGTTACACCGAGCTCTTCAATTTCAAACCTCGATCTCTTCATTTGCGTGTTTCGAACTGTAGTCTCCAATGCGTTCTTGTGGTCCGTATATACCATAACTTCTCTTTTCCACAAAATTGACCGAAATTCTCGGAGCATCAGAATATACCATAACTTATCTTCCCCACAAAATTGACCGAAATTCTCGGGGCATCAGATCTTGTTTGTGGTATATCCGTTTTGTGCTTGGTTACACTTTTTTCAGAAGGCGAGAGGTTTCTCTTTTGTATTGTTAATCACCCAAGGTCGATTTTCTGTCGCACGAGATTACGCCGAGTGGCATACGCGCCGATACGAAGAAGATAGCCGCGATCGCCGAGCTCTCCTTCCCGAAATCAAAGAAATGGATACAAGCCTTTCTCGGCGCACTTAACTACTACGGCCGCTTCACGTAGAACTTGGCTGTTTATGGAGCGGTGCTCTACCAACTCAAGGAGACGGACTTTGGTCCTGGGGGTGACTTGACGTCAGCAAAAGCGCCATTCGCCGAGCTAAAAAAGCGGGTAGCGGACGCTCCGATTCTTCGCCATTTCGACTCGGCGAAAGAAGTCCACATAATGCTGTACGTTAATGACTGGGCACTGAGTAGTACTATGATGCAGCCGCACGACGACAAGCTACACCCAGGTCGCTACTGCGGGAGCGTGCTCAAGGAGAACGAACTCGGCTACCATCATGCTGAGAAATAAGTGAGCGCGCTGTTGCAATTTCTCAAAGTGTGCTACACTCTCTTGACTGGGAAGACGCTTCACGTCTACACCCGCTTCTCAACGCTGAGGTGGGTGTTTAAGTCTAAGAAAGGATACGGCCGCGCAGTCATCTCCGCAGTGGTGCTGTCACCCTACATGCTGAAGGTGAAGCGGGTACGCGAACGTGATGTAGACTTCGCCCAGTTGCTCCAAGCCTTGATAACACCGTTCATCGGACTCGACGAGTCCCTAAGGCACCTCGCGCCTCCCCTCAAGAACTCAGCGACAGTCAGAATGGACCCGGAGCTGCTGTACGACCGAATAATTCGCGGGATTTGTACTTTCATTCGATGGCTCAGTGAAGACAGCCACGTATGGCGGGTATGGAAGTTGTTCGTGGATTCTGTGGCGTCTTCCGAACTGGGACATTGAGATCGCTGCGAGTGCATACCTGTCGTCCACCACGGTCAACATCGTCGAGTATACCGGCATGAACAATGAAGTCTTGGCGGCGATTGACCGAGGGATAACAGACTTAATTATCGTGGGTGACTCCCGACTTGCAATCCAGTAATACATGGGGGTGATAGCGTACAAGAAGAAGATGTTGCAAGTGAAGTTAGCACGACACAAGGATCTCACCAAGCGACTCAACTCGGTCCGGTATCGACACATAGCACGACACTATAATTCAGCCGCTGATCATCTCGCCACAGAGGCACTCGAAGCAAAGGCCGGACGGGTAATTTTCGAGACGGATCGGAAAGCAGAACTGAGAACTATGAACTGAGTGGCCGAAGTGGTGTATGCTTCAGACATCCCAGCAGAAATCCTAACCGTCGCGGTAGTCACTCGGAGCCGAGTACGCCGAGCTTGCTTTGAGGATGAGCTTGATGAAGACTCGGCTAGAGCTCAAAAGGGAAGCCGGGATCATGAAGCCATATCATCTAAACCTGGAGAATCCGCGTTTGAAAGCGGCGGAGATGAACTCGAACAGGACAACAGGGCGTCGACTCGGCGGCCCGATCGTGCGACCCCGAATGCTGAAGCAGGGCTACAAGCTGAGTCAGCTCTGACAGATCCGAACGCCAGCGACATGGATCCAGTGATATTACAGACGCTGAATCGCGAAGACGCAAGACGAAGAGCTCAGGTGGGCCGATCTGAAGACGTGTCTGAGAGGTGAATTCGAGGACCTTACGCACCGCCGAGCTCAGAACGCCGACAAGGTTGCAGAGGTCTTCGTACTCAGTGAAGACGGTCTGTTATACCGCCGAGATGAGACGCGCCGACGAGGCGAGCTCGGCGAGCCAAACCTATTGGTGATCCGCCAACTATGATCGACGAAATACTACACAGCTGTCTATTTCGATCGAAGGAGGTCATCAAGATATCGTCAGAACGTATCACAGGGTCAAGGCCGACTATTACTGGATCGGTCTTTACGCCGACGTGGTGAAACATGTCAGGGCCTGCGAAGACTGCAGTACCAGTAAGAGCAAGCCACAGCTGAGAGTTACTCACCTGGAAATCTGGTGTCAGACCGTCCATTCCAGGTCGTGTCAATGGATTTCGTGATTCCCCTACCTCGAACTCAGCGGGGCAATACTGCGCTGCTGCTGTTCCAGGGTCACTTCGCGGAATTAGTTATTGCTAAAGCTATGAACGACACCGGGGCACTCGAAGTGGCCAAGGTATTTGAAGAATGCGTCGCTAGGTGGCTTGGGGATCCGTCACTGATACGACATGACCTAGAT